AGGAAAGAAAGAAACAGCGTGGATCAAAATAATTATTCCTAGACATAGCGCAGTGGGTGGGTGGAAATCTTTCCGATGCATCTTGATGGACGGCCTGGGAATTTTAACTTTCATTATTGGTCAGGGCTGGGGTTAGGGCTGGGGTTCCGGTTAGGGTTAGGCATGGTGGTATGTGGTGGTAAATCTTAAATCTAGCTCATGTTTTAAGATTTAAGATTATTTAAGATTTAAGGTGATCTAGGAAGAGCACTGGGCCTCTAATCAGGAGCAGGTCGCTTCCAAACCTCTGCACAGGGACGACGGCAGGGGGGCAGAGGGGGCTCACAGCACAGCCCTGCGCCTGCCTGTTCAGGCGGAAACTGCTCCCCAGCGCACCTGTTACGGGTTGTGTCCTCAATTAGTCACCCTGCAACCTGTGCCCATTTGTAGCATTATCACCATCGCCATCAACAACAAAATGGTCGAAATAATACAGATTCTGCCAAGCCAGAGGCGTCCTGGAACTCTTTCCTACAAAATGGTAAGACCGCCCACTCCTGGTGGCATCGGAGGGACTGAGCACTCTCTTATTCCCAACAGAAGACGAACGATCTGGACTCTGCGCTGCCTTGTTGAGGCCTTCCTTCTGTTTTTGATGATTTGTTCACCTCTGGTCGCATCGTGTTTTGCATATTGCTTTGGATTCGCTTGCCAGGCCTGGGAAGCGGCACTACAAAGTCAACATAAACAAATGCTCTGCCCAGAAGACTTGTTTTCATTCAACGGGAGAAGGGCCAATGGACAGAAGCAGAAGAGAAAGTGCAGGGGCGGCGAGAGGAAAAGGGACTTGTGCAGAAGCTTCTGCAACGTCCCTGAACTGAAAACATTGCGTGTTTGGCTGGGTACTCCTTCTGGGTGGAAAGGGTTGCAGTCCCGTTCCAAAGAAGCACTGCAAATCATCACTTGGGTGCCCTTCAGCCTTCATTTACAACATGAAAAGTAGTATATAAGTCTTGGGAATAAAGATAAAAATGGGACATCCAGAACATGCCTCACATTATCCTTCCAAACGAGGACCGCAAAGCACAGTTTGGAGGGGGACATAACGGAGGGCGCAGGAAGAAGCTGTACGCCACTCGCTCCTGGAGGGCCAACCATGGTTTGGCTGCATGTGCGAACAGACCGGGGCAGATGCAGCGCAGACTGATGCACACCGTTAAATTCCAGGAGGGAAACAAGGCTCGCACCAAGCGACTCACTTGCGGAAGCTGGCTGCATCTGCAAGACACACTGGGGTTCCAAGCGCTGGTTTCGACCACAATGCTGGGCTAGTTAGCAGCCGGGCTCCTTGGACCCAACCCATCCACTGAATCCTAAGAATGAGGCTCTCCTCTCGTGAGTCCCCTTGCCAGGCAAATTGGCCCGATTCGTTCTCTTTTATGGACTGGGTGAGAACTGTCCTGTGTCCTGTTCCTTTAACTTCGTCTTAACATTGCATTACCTTTCTAGAGTTTAAGTTGCTGCTTTTGTTTGCATATTTAAAGGGCGTTTGAAAAAAATCCTTAATACCATTATTTTCATGTTTGCAAGCCACTTTAAGTGCTTTTTAACTGGAAATGTGAGGCTGGAGGAACTCTGGTTTCTAGAGGGAGTGCATTCCATCTTGTGAGGCCGCAAAGGAGGTCTGAAGGGCTCCTGCCCCGACACCAATTTATTGCCTCAGGGAGAACTAGACCATTGCGTGACCAATCTGTGAAGGAATCCATCTTCGACAATTAAGCAGCAATAATCCCAGACCCAGGATGGCCAGGAAGTTCAATATCACAAAACATTAATTCTCGAATAAGACGCATATAAAAATCACTATGTAGCTCTCGGCTTGCTTTCCGGATTGCCACATGGAAAACAGAGCCCTTAAACTGTTACCGAGTCAGTCACTGGGGGTGTAAATAACTAGACGCTGAGTAAGATACAACATCTGACATGCACCGTGCTTATTTGAGTTCTGAAACGGTGCTCCAATTTTATTTGGGGCACTTTTGCTTCAATAAATCCTCAGCAACTTGAATGTAACAGCAATCAAGAGCGCAGTTAAATATAAAGGTTACAGCAGGTCCTTGATCGGCCTTCAAACTATTTCCTTCCCCAACATCTCTGTTCCCATTACTGGGAATACAAACACTGCTGGCTGCCCAGCTCAGCTCTTCAGAACTCACCCTCCCATGCAACGGGCTGCTCAATGCTTATGCCTCACCCAAAAATCTCTGTGGCCGGTGCGGCTGCTAGACACCAATGGAAAACTCCAGAGCAAGGTTTGTGCAAGAGGAATCCCGGTTTTCAGAGCAAGGGTCTACTCAGCATTCTTCCCTCCTGTGTAGCTTTCTGTTCCCTTCACGGGAAGGCAAAACTCCCTGGAGGAGACAATCACGCCAGGGTTCCGTTTGGATGCCAGGAAGCACCTCCTGATGGTTCGGACTTCCAGGGTGTGGAACGGGCTTCCATGGAAGGTGGTGGAGGCCCCATCGGGGAGGGTGTCCAAGGACAGGCTGGATGTGCACTTGGTGGGCATGTTATGAGTGGAGCTGGCTGGAGCCGGGGGTCAGACTAGATGGCCTGGGAGACCCCTCCTGACTAGCTCTGTTTCTATGCTTCTATGCCAAGGAAAACTGAAGGCAGAAGAAGAAAAAGAATGCCAACTATGAGACGGATCGACTCCATGAAGGAAGCTGCAGCCTGGAATTTATAAGAGCCGAGCAGGGATCAGCGACTCTGGAGGCATGGGGTTGCCAGAAGTCAGAGGCAACTTGACAGCACCGAACAACGAAAGGGTTCCTGTTATGGGGTGCCCATCCAAAGCAAGTTTCCACTGCCCCCAGCCCAGTTTGGTCTACTTTAGTAGCCGTTCCCCAAGGGGCAGGTTCCCCAAGGCTCCAGCAGGGCCCTCTCCCGAGGATTCTGCTGCCCAGGAGGCTTCTGACCGGGAGATGCCGGCGCCTTAAGTGAGACTTGCGGCATGCCAAGCACGTGTTCTGCCACTGAGCGGCAGCCCGGCCCAGATAACATTTTGCAGACCACAAGAGCCCATTAAAGCTGAACCTCTCCTTCTTATCTCAGTGAAAGCAACTCTTTCTTACAAGCAGCCCGAGGAAATAAAATCCTTCCTTTTAGGTCCTCTGCTTTTGCACCACCACATCACTTTGTGGCGATACTCACACATCATGCTAAACCGTAATATAGTGTTATGTACACAACCAGACATATGCCGACTTTTTGTCCTCACTTCTCCACTGCCCGTGCAACCTGGAAGCAAAATAATCCAGGCTCTCCTTTAGTGGATTCCTAGTTTGCCATGATGTACAAGCCAAGACCTGTGCTTTAAAGTAAACTCTAGCTTGTTAAATAAGGCTGCTAAACAACACAGGGTGTGTTTGTCAGCTTTAAAAGCCACCGGCTAGGGTCTCTTTTAAAAGAAAATGTCAGGTAACAACCTGGTTTCTTGTACTCTGGTTTCTCTTCAGATCATCTAAACCTTTCCTTCAGGTAACAATACACCAGGTATCTGCTAAAGCGAGTCTGGATGCTAGTTCATTCTTCCTCCCATTCATGCAGGAGAAAAGAGTGGGGAGCACATGAGCTGGCGATTTGTGCAAGGTTTATGCTCATGCATGTCACATGCAACCATGGTTTAGCATGATGTGTGCATGTGTCCACCATATAACACGTCAGCAGAGCGAGCAGATGTTTGTTCCACTGTCTGGTTCCATTCTGGAGACAAGCGTTTCGGCCTGTTTCTGGGAGTGTGCTCCGACACGCTAGCGGTGGGTCTCAACAGCACTGGATACTGCCCAAAGAGTTGCATCCAGCATTAGTCCTTCTTAGAGGGGACCTGCTAAAATGAATAGGATTTAAGTTAATCATGATTCACTTGAGTCCCATTCATTTCAACCGTTCTCCTCTAAGCAGGGCTAACGTTGGATTGAACTCAAAGCCGGCATCAGGTGAAGCCAGGAATCCTGGTTTGTTGAACCACAGTGTGAATGAGCAGCATGTGCCCATCCCATTCACTTCCACTTCCTCCCTCTGTGTGACCAAATAAGGCAGGAAGGGGTAGTCAAAAGAGTCAAATGTGAGATTAAGGTTACTAACAAGCCAGGATCAGAAAATAGCTTTCAATCCTGGTTTAAAGTTAGCCTATGAATCCTGGTTTGTTCAGGTGCAGCTAGTCATGATCCCAGGTTCCGTCTCCTGTACCCACAAAGAGAGGACTTCATGTATTGGCTCATGCATTCACTGGCCTACTAAGCCTGGCCCAATATCAAAATGCAACCAAAGTCTAAAGTGAGACGCATATTGCCAAACATCTGGGAAGGCGAGAGAAATAAATCCCTGTCATGAACCCGATGTGTGTTGGGAAAGCTAAGCATCCCTTTTACACATTCGGTGTTTCCTGCAGCAAACTCAGGAAGACTACGAGGGTACTGATGCTATCAAGGTCTCAGTGAAAACCAGCTGACAAATGGTTTGTAAATTATCTATCTAGGATTCACTGGCATTGTCGTTTAAGTGCTTATTTTTAGTTGTACTTCCTTGTGTCAGCGTAACAACCCCTGTGTAGAAGCTCCTGGCCGGTTTCCCATGCTGCTGCTTGTTAATATTTGCTCTGGAGGAAACTGGTTTTTAAAAACTCTAAATGCACATGTTAGGAGACGAGTATTTCAGATGCATCCAGCACAGGTCTTCGAGATCATTTAATGGATGTGAAACTCAAATTTCCCCAAGGAATTCTGTCTGCTTCCACTAACTTTAAGATGCACAATGGATTAAATACCTCTTAAAACCAGGAGATTAATGTCTGCTACATCATATTAATAAAGGGAATCTATGCCTTTGGAAAAAATACTCTGGATGCATCCTAAACATGCACACACACACAATGCACTCCTGAAAACAACACCAGGCATTTATCTCAGGGCTCTGCAAAAACCCATAAGCCAGTGCAACAAATCTCGGAGAAAACTCACCCGTCACAAGCTGCTGTCCAGCTAATCCCACCGGGACCATGCTCAGGTTATTCATGGCCGTTGCCCAGGCAGCTGGATCAGTGACTGACATGTTAAGTTGCGTGGTATCTAATGCGACGCTTCCCAAGCCATCGGCCGCTGTAGGAAGGAAAGCACATTCTCAGCTTATAAGTGCCATGGCAGGATGGTAAGCTGACAACTTGAAAAATCTTTTAAGTTCTTGCAGCATAGGTATCTCAGGATCTCCTCTCAGTCATTCTGCCCTGATTATTCATGGGGAAATTTGCAGCACAGAAGCCAACAGACAAAAACTCAATGAACAGAATCTGTGGAAACTTAATCCAATAAGGGGCAAAGGTTCCTATGGAAACAAATTCCCAAGGATGTTGATATGTTGGCAAGAATAATGACCTGAGAATGACAAAGAGTCTTGAGGCTCCTTAAAGACTAGCAGACTCATTTTGTCCCTTGCATCAGACGGCAGTCCCTCAAAGCTTATGCCGTAGTTTTTAGGATATTGTGGGCCACTTTGTCATTTTCATGGCAACACTAACCCTCTGGAATTTAGAATGAATTTCAGTTTAGCACCAAAATAAAGACATTTGCACAGGAGCAGAGAAAAAGCAACACATCAGTGTGGCTTATCTCCAGACGATTCCACAATCCGATTAACTGCAGAAACATTTGAGGGCTCGTGCTGGGGCAATTGTGCCATCCAATGTGGCACATCCCGCAGACTCCAAGCTACCGGACACCATTCACCTGCAGCCATCGCTTCGAGGGGCTCCTCTTGCTCTTTTTTGTCTTCTTCAACTTGGCACTCCTTGACGTTTTCATTTGCTACTGTATCAACATCCTGAAAGGTGCCAAGAGTTCTCCACCACTGGGGACGGGATCCGCATTTACCACATTATGCTCTGAAAGGAACAAAAGAGGGGAAAATCCTCAGTACAGTTGGAAAATATCTCCTCTTAATAGAGAGCGGTCGGAGAGCCACACAGACGGCGGCCACACGGAAACTCCAGCCGCACGGCTCCCCCGGGCATTAGAAAGGGAATTAAGCCAACCTGCGCTCCTGCTGATTGGGAACAGAACAAATAGAGCCAGACAGACACCTGTGTAATGCAGAGCCCCTGGGCTCAGCCACCTCTCCGCAGGTAGGTTTATCAGCACCTGAACAGCTGCCTCAGCTGGCTTGCACTGGAAGGACAGACCGGAGGCGGCAAATGAATTTTTTAAAAAGTTAAAAATTAATTGATACTGAAAGTTTCAGGAAAATGGAAGCCTGTTAAATATATTCCCAGATGCACTGGGGGTGCGGGTGAGATGGCAGCAAGGAAAACAACCTTGGAATAACTTTAAGAATGAAGGGCATTGAGGGACCGGCTGCTTGCTTGCTTTCCGTTTTCAGCTTGTGAGAATTAAGGACGGTTCCATTCTTAATAGCAATGCTCCTAAAAAGACAGCAGCAGCAGAAAGCTACGGTCTCGCCGCAAAAAGCTGTGCCTATGCTTTGACCACTCAACTAGGACAATTACTGGGAGTAAAAGATGCATGATCCATTCTATCTGACAATGTTGCAATTGCTGTGAACACACAGAGGGCTTTGGCTATTGTGTGGGAGAGAAATTTCATTCGATGGATGGACAGATGGACAGAACTTTAGTAAATCTTATAAACAGCTTGGCCATTTGTGGGGAGTAAGAACTGCCACCAAGTGACCGGGCAGAAGCGTTTTGCAAACTGAAAAGAAAATTTGGTTCTTTCCTCCAGTGCTTTCAGGTTACTGAAGTATGTGGAGCGGTGATCCAGGAAGAACATCCTGCAAACTAGTAACTTTGACTCATTGTCTTTGGTGCCTTGTGGAAAAAATTATTGTGTATTTCTAAATTTAAGGAATGTGCGGGCTTATTTTCCACTGGTAACCTGCAATACTGCAGCAAGGAACCCGGATTCAGTCAACTTTCACAGGCAGGGCATTTTGCATGAGAACAAAGCACGAAAGTAAGGCTCACCATGAAGCGGAGTGTGCCCCCTTTGGCTGGGAGGTCCACTCAACTTCCAAGGCGCCTCAAGATCATGGGCACAAAATGTGAGCAACAGGAATGCAACATCTTTCCCCACACACAGAGGGCACAGTGATCTCTTGGGCGCAATCCAGCCAGTGCAGCTAAGGAACCGCAGAGTGCAGCACCGCAGGCCAGGGTGGAGCTGCGGGCAGGACACGGAGCAGGATGTCTGCCCCTTTGGCGTTGAGGCTCACGGGCGCTTGCACAGCACGGAGGCTTAGCATCCTCCGGAAGGAGAGCGAGGGCTGCAAGTGCAGCCGGTTCAGGCGTCTCGCAAGGCGCTCTGGAGCCCCATGGCGAACTCACGGCTTTCCCTCTCAAGCTGAGACACCATTTGCCGTCCTTCTCCTCTCCTTAGCCAGAAGGCCTCTCTGGAAGGTCGTGGAAGGGCAAAACAGGGTAAGGGAGTCCCTACAAAGGCAGTCTTACGCATCCAAAGCAGCACTCGGAATTCGATGAACTTCCAGCATGGATATTCCAAACCAAATCTGAGATGTCTGTCCGTCTGTTATATTCTTACCCTGCCTTTTTGCTTTGAAGAGCTCAGGGCAGTTTTCCCCACTCCTCCTCCTCCTCCCAGTCTTATCCTCACAACAACCCTGTCAGGTAAGGCTAGGCTGGGAGTCACTGACAACCCAAAGTCAGCTTTTGTGACCACATGGGGACTAGAACCATGATCTCCCACATCCTAATCCAACTGGCTCTTGCTTTTCTGTACCCCTTAACTGTTTTATTATCATTCATTCATTTGTTCATTTAAATGTTGTATTACCCCCTTGTTTGCTAGCGCACTGTTTATGCTTTTTGAATGGTTTATTAACTGAGCATCTTTTTTAAGACCTGGAAGTTTATTTATCTGTTTATTCTATCAATTCTGTTGTCAGTTCATGTCCTTTGTGCTTTGTCATTTTACTCTGATATACTTTGGGCTTCCTTTTGGAAAGAAAAGACTCCCACAAAGGGTGCTGTCCCAGAGCGACAAGAATATTTGAACAGCCAGGAAGCAAAGGATGCAGCATGCTTCTTAATTGTTAGAGCAGCTTGCAATTACAAATCAGTTTCAAAGACATTTAGGGACACAAGAAGAGAGGAACCAGCCCTGCAAGGATCCGAAATCTGCAATCCTTTCACAGGAATGCCCCGGTATTCTCTAGGAATATATTAGCAGCCAGTCCAAGGTTCTTCTGCCATTTCCTACCCTGCATAAACAGAGGAACTAATTATTGGTCCTTCTTTTTCCAAGCTTCCGATAAGTGTGTCTCCTAGCAACCATTTCTCCTGACCTGAGCAAAAGAGCAGAACATTCAGGCTGTTTCCCTTCTGGACTCCCACCATTCCCTCCTGTATTATTCCCACCCTGCCTGCAGAACGAGACCGTGGCAGCCGTCCCCTTTCCCCGTACAGCAGTGTGACAATTCAACCATCAATTATGTAAGTGGCACGGCCGTTTAATATTTCAGCTACACCATGCCGCATTTGCTCTCCTTTGAAGCAGGTCTGAAACGGCAGTCCAAATAGCACCGTCGGAAAAAGCCTCGGGAAACACCTGTCTCGTTTCAAGCGTGAAGTGGTCCTAAGACGCCGTGGGCACCCTTAAACATGCAAGAGGCACAGGAGTCGAAACCACAATGGTGTGGCATGCTCAGCGATTACCTCACAAACGCTACGAGCTGAGTTGCCTTCAATGTCTTACTCTCATGGGTTTAGATTTAGAAGAATTATTTGTATAGCCATCTTAACTATGACTTAAGTGGCCCTTTTTGGAGTGCATCGTGTTCTGGAGTGGTAATAGTTCCCAAGTCCCATTCAGGGATTTTAGTTTGTTTAAGCAGCATGGGAATTTAAAAAAATAAAGAAATAAAGGAGTAAAAACTTCGATTCAGTTCTAAGCAAATTATAGCCAATGAAGAAAGCTGCGTTTCTATTTATTCTGGGAAAGCCCAGTGTTGCTGAAAGGAGCACGCTCATCCAGAATACCGAACGACTGACCGCCCCGTTGGATTTTGAATGTGCCATTTGTGATGCGTGCATAAGCCATCCTTCGCTCAGGAAGAAGAGACCATCATCTTCCAAGAGCAAGCAGCAAGAGAAAGCACCGATTCCTCCAGATACTCCTTCAAATGTTTTTGCGGTGACATTTAAAAGCGACGTCCTGCTCAAGGGACGGGTGTGTGCCCTCAGCGGACTGCAAATGTGCCAGCTCTTTCTTGGATCGTGCCGGCAGCCGCAGCCTCGCTGACCCCGCCTCTATAAATAACAGAATCTGGGGACCCCGCAATGATGTGTGATGGAAGTCCAGCTTGGCGATAACAAAGAGCATATGCAGAACAGAAAAATGATCTGGAGGCGAGCAAGTCTGCAGGCTTGCAGTGTGCTGGTGATAAAAATAGATCTGGCAATTGCTCGTATACAAAACGCCAGCCTATCTCAATGGCTTTGTCTCAATTTTTCATTCTGCCTAGAAGTTGATTTTAAAATGTGAATCACTCTCCTATCTTGAAAGGAAAAGATGTTCATTGAATAAATTACACTCTTTTGCCATTTAACAGGAGAGCTCTGAAAATAACCCCAACAGGAGAGTACAATTCTCCCCACCCGTCCCAGGCTATTTTGTCATAAACGATTTTAGAATACGAACCACCAGGAATCTATACGTATAAATATTTAGCTATAAATACATAGATATAGGTATAAATATCTTCTGTCTGCTAATGGCATATCCATATTTACTGAATAGGCAGCTCAGAAGAAAGCAGGAAAACTTGCCCGTGCCTCAGTCCAGTACTGGCTGTGCACAGATAACACGACCAGGTGGCCGCTGCTTGAAGCCGTGGGGTTGAAGAGGGCGCGACCTCCCGTGCCCCCCACCTCGTGCCCGTCTGTTCAGCCAGGGCAGGTCGGGCCAGGTAGAGCCCTCCAGGGCCTGGTTACTTCTCACACTGCCCCGAAGCCAACACAGAAATCTGCTTTTAAGGCAAGCGTGTTCAAGAGTTCTCACCTGTGCTCAGATCCCACTGATCTGGGATGGGATCAGTGATGGGCTGCATTACTTCCGTCTGCTGCCCCACCCGCCTTCCCGTCTGCCTCTTGGCTCTGCTCGCCCTCCCGCACATGCAGCACCCCTTCTTCCGCCCTCCTGGGTCCCTGGGTCCCTGGGTCCCCGAGCAAATAATAGCTGAGGGAAAGGCCAGTCTTTCACGGAGGAGGAAGCTCCCCATGGCTACAAGACCTGCTCGTTATCACAGGCGGCACCCATCCTGCTCAAGGATCCCATGGCCTGCCAGGCTTGCCACCATGTGGAAGGAGAGCCGGACTGGGTGGACCAGGGCCCTGACCTTCTTAGGTCCTTCACTTGCAGGCCCCTTGGCAGGCAGGGGCCTCCATAGGCTACATCTTCAAAGAAGAGGAACTTGGATAATGGACAGAAGAAGTAAGTGGTTCTAGGCTACATGGACAGGTCTGAGGTAGCTTCACACACCCCTCTTGCAATCGCAGAGGATTGGTATACAAGCCTTCACTTCTCCTCCCTGGGAGGCTGGCTATCTGCGGAGGTCTCCCAAAGGTCCAAGTGGACAACTGGTGACTCTCCACGTGTTTTGGCCTGGAACTTCGACCAGCCCTTGCTGGCAGGAGCTCGTGGTGCAGGGTGACAGAAGCTGCAGGGCAAAGCTTCTGCAGGGCTTCCCGTTGCCCATCCCTGACCAAGGATGAGGTGGACCATATGGGTTTTCCCTTGGGAGACAGAATATTCTGCTTCTTTGCTCA